CTTAATATGATGGGAATTTTAAAGTACTACTTTTTAAAGTAGAGACCAAACATTTAAAATATATGGTTGTCTCTCAGTATCCATGTGGGCATTGGTTCTAGGACTCCCCATGGCTATTAAAATCCTTCAAATCCCTGATACCGAATGGAATAGTGTTTGCATATAACCTTTTCACATACTCCTGTATACTTTAAACCATCTCTAGATTACTTATAATACCTAATGCAATGTAATGGCTATGTAAATAGTTGTTATACTCTATTGTTTAGAATAATGACAAGGAACAAAATTCTGCACATGTTCAGTACAGAACCAATTTTTTTAAAAAATATTCTCTATCTGTGGTTGGTTGAATCCATAGGTGTGGAACCCATGGATACAGAGGACTGATTATACTCCAAAATGCTGAAATAATTGTGTATTAGAGTAAACAAATAATGAGTGATGTGAGCAATTCATCTTGCACATCATTTTAGGATTCAATACCCACTAGAATAATTTTTAATTTGCCTTTTGATATTAAGGGGCAAAAAGTCTGTTTTCAGAGAACTAATGATTAACAACAAGAAATGAATGGTTAAATTACAGACGTTAATTTGAATATTGGCACTCATTATTTCTAATTAGTATGAAAGGTCTTTAGAGATTGACAGTTACATTCCATAAGAAATACATGAAAACTTTGAAGAGTAGACATCTCAAGTTTTTTGTTTGTTTTAACATATTTTCAGGAATAACTTCACGATTATTAAATACAGGCTAGGGTTTTGTTTTGGTAAATTATTTCCAGTTTTCATCCTTATCTGCAAAGTTTCTTGTAAATGTCTTATGTGTTAGGGAGAATAATGGCCCCAAAGATATGCACATCTTAATCCCTGGAACGTGTCAGTATGTTATGTTACATGGTGTCTTAGTCTGTTTTCTGTTGCTTATAACAGAATGGCTGAAACTGGGTAATTTATAAGTGAAAGGAATTTATTTCTTACAGTTATGGAGGCTAAGTCCAAGGTTGGGAGGCCATGTTTGGTGAGGGCCTTCTTATTGGTTGGGACTCTCAGTAGAGTCGAGTCCCAGGGTGGTGCAGAGTATCGTGGTAAGAAGGTTGAGTGTGCTAGCTCAGGTTCTCTTCCCCATCTAATGCTATCAATCCCATTGTCATGATAATCCATTAATCTATAAATGGATTAATCCATTAATGAGGGCAGAGCCCTCAAGACCCAATCATCTCATAAAGGCCCCACCTCTCAATACTGCCACATTGGGGATTACGTTGCAACATGAGTTTTGGAGGTAACAAACATTCAAACCATAGCATGTGGCAAAAAGGAATTAAAGCTACTAATCAGCTAACCTTAAAATAGATTATCTAGGTGGGCCTAGTAATCATGTAAGCTCTTTAAGCCAGAAGGAGTCAGAAGAGTAGGTCTAAGATTCAGCCCATTGTTGCTGACTTTGAAGATGGAGAAAGAAAGCCAGGAATCGTGGAATTTTAATGCTTCTAGAAGCTGGGAATTGACCTCAGCTGACAGCCAGCATGGAAATAGAGATCTCAGTCCTATAACCGCATTAGACTGAATTCTGCCAGCAACTTGAATGAACAAGGAAATGGATCCTTCCCTAGTCTCCAGAAAGGAACATGGCTCTGTAGACACCTTAATTTTGGCTCGCTGAGGCCCACATCAGACTTCTGACCCATAGAACTGCAAAATAATAAATTTGTGATATTTAAATAATAAGTTTGTATTTGTTATGGCAGCAATAGGAAACCAATACACCTTTGTTTAGAATTCTGTCTCTTTTGGTATGTACATCAGCTATTCTCCTGTCCAAATCTAGCCTTACTCTAGAAGCTGCTAAGCAGGAGGGCCTATAGTATTAATATTAAAGTTCTGCAGAGAAATTCCATTTGTTAGAACTAGATGAAGAAGGACAATCCTAAGACATTAAGGTTAACAATTGACAATTTTAAAGAGGGGAATGTGGATCATGTAAGACTCTGCTTTTATATTAGCCTAATGCCATAAGAGAATAATTAGCACATGTATGGCTCAGGATTCATTTTGTCATCTTTATATAAATATAGTCATCTACTGGCTTATTTGGGATACACAGTTTTTTCTGAGCCTAT